ACTGCCAGATCTTTTTCTAGAATTAAAAACAATAATAGTAGTACTAATAATAGCAGTGATGAAACCAGGCTATAAGTGGAATAAAAACCATGACCTGCTGTATTGCCAAGAAGAATAAAATTTTGGGTATCCATAATGAAGGTTCAGACACTGGCCACTTGGGCAGTAATTCAACTACCAGCACCTTTCTTTTTTCATTCCTTTTATTTTTTTATCTATATATAAAGCTCTATATAAATAGAAAGCTTAGTATCTATATTTCAGTGAAGTCTCTGCTTCAGGAACCTTAAGTGTCTAAAAATTTGCAAATATTGTCAGGAATAAATTCCATGGAGACAGATTCATTTACACAGAGGGATGTAGAAAAGACTCCTCTGTGTTCTTTCAATGTACTGATCACTGTTTTAACACATCTGAAAAATGCATTTGTTTGTTGTTTGAAATTTTTATCTAGAAGATCTCTACATATTTGTTTCAAAACTGTTAAAATTGGCTGCCTCTGCTAATCCTTAAGCCTTCCTGCTCTGGTGTGTCTTTGCTTTGCCTTAGCTGCCTGCAAACCTCTGTTTCATATGTGATTTATTGGCTTGGCACAGTCACATCCCAAACTTCCCCAGTTGTTTTTACCTTTATAGTTCATCTGCTTGTTCCTCATGTGGGAGGAGATCTTTGGTGAGGAAGCCTGAGCAGGCTCTGCCAACTTGCAAAGAGAAGGTGGGGGTGTCTGGTGCTATGAATGGACTTTCACTTCTAGTTCAAACACATATTGGGGGTAAATTACAGCTCTGATGTTTTGGCTTCCTCCCAACACTTTTAGGAAAAGTATATAGCCAAAAAGTTGTGTGGGAACAGAAACTGTTTGATTCCATCCACTTCTCTGAAAGATCCAAGTTTTCCAACATGCTGTAGTGACCTACCTTTTTCTGCATAATTATAATTTCAGGAAAAATAACCTTCTTTCCCTCTTAAAACCAACCTTGAACCCTAGAATACTTTTTTCTGGCCTGCTTTATTTTTCTTAATTAGCAGCTGATGAAATCACCATGTAGTTCTATAATTATTTATCACCTGAGGGACATCCCACTGTATTCAATGAAGGTATTTTAGGGAACATCTGACCTTCCTGTATTTTTAGGTATTTTTTTCTTTTCTCACATTGTGCAGTGTTACATGGCACATGATGGAGGGCAAGGAGGAAGAAGGGCACTTGGCTAAAGAAAGCCCTGTGGCTTAGCAAGTGCAAAGAAATGTTCCTCTCAAATTATTATTTTCATGTTGGTCAAAAAGACAGGAATAAACCAGTCTGTTTACTGGTTATTTCTAATAACTGACTCTACATAATTCTGTTGGAAATTTTCTGCTGTTTGCACACACTTTGCTTCTGATGCTTGAGTGTATCTTCCTCAGCATAATGCATTTTTCTAAAATTCATCTGATACAGGTGTTGCTTCACTTTGGCTTATATCAAAACAAAGAATCTTTATGCTGTTCTGCTAGTTAAGGCCGATTAGCATCTCTTTATTTGATGCAGGTTTGGACAGAAACAAAAGTAGGATACAAGATTTAACCTCAACAACAGATTTTTCCTCAAAAAACTTGCATGAATTACTGGAAAAATTTTGCTGCAATGCTTTCTATTTTATTTCTTTTTTCAAAGGAAAATACATTGTGCTGTACTTACAGGCTGGGAAAACCAACAGGAAGAAAAAGATCTTTTTAATAAATGAAGATGTAAAAATTAATCAATTAAGATGCAACAGGAAATGTGACTGGATGCTTTCTATTACAAAAGGCCATCTGTAATGCAGACTTTTAGTATTAAATTCCTATAAAATGTGTAGAATGAAAGTGTTTGTCATGCTGAGCTTTCATCCTAAAGTGATCTCAGCATAAGAGGGGAGGGAAGTGGAAAGCTTAGCGTGGTACAACTGACACAAACTGTTAATCTTTCTATCTGCTTCAAGAAAAACTACCACCCCAACTTGCAATATATTGCATAAACAAATATTGCCTGTATTTCCTTTTTTGAAAGCTGTGAAAGCACTTGAGCCTGTCCAATGTTGTTGACTCAAGGAAACACAGAAAAACTGGAAATAAAAAGAGATCTGTTAAACAGCTGTCTAATCTAGAAAGTGCTGGCTAATCCTAATGAACCCAGCCAGGAGGTGAAGTATTATTCCCACCAGAAGGAGAGGCAGAGCTTACCAAGCTCACACACACAGACAGCAGGGACTGGGACAGGTGAGACACATATATTAAGTATTCAGTGACGAGCCAACAAAAATCTCTCACTCCTACCCCTGCACTCTTTCTCATTCTGGCTGGCAGATAAAGCAGGCCTTTGCCATTAAATCTGTTCATTTATCAGTCTCTAAAACAGTTTTCTGCTGAATTTACTTTGAGGACTCCCTTAATCCACCTCTGATACAAATTTACAGAAATAAACCCTTTTTTTTCTTAAACTCGTTCAGCGTTTAGAAAGCCTCTAAAACCTGAAAACAGTTTGAAATTTAGTATCAAACCCACACTGCTTATTAATGAACTGCAATCATTCCCTTTGTACAAAGAGCACAGAGAGCAGATAGCAGAGAGGGCAAGTCATGCTAGCAGACCTCAAATTGCTCTCCAAGGAAAAGGAAGAAGAGTAGAGGCACTATAATTTTAATGATGGTTCTCTCCAGTGTTAAACTTTGCCATTTTGTTTTTAGGTCCAATAATTGGTTTGGCAGGAAGTAGTGGAATAAACAGAATAAAATCCTGTTCTGTTAAGTTGCATCTTATATAGAAAACCTCAGATAAATTACTGTGTGTTTTGGATGCTTGAAAGGATTAAAAGTTAGTGCTAAAAAGAAACATATCCAGAAAAATAAATAGCTCTAGTAGAGAATAATGTGAAATGAAGAATAGAAGTAGATATTCTTTGAGATGCAGGGAAACAGGAGTTCTGGAAAGATTTAGACCAGAAACCACAGTAGTATAATGAGCATATGTCATGTTATGGTGCTTTTAAAAATCATGGGGGGCACCCTGAGTAAAAAAACTTTTCAGTGAGAATGAGTCACTTCATACTTGTTCCTGAAATAACTACATTAAGAATTGGATGCTTTCTTGTAGTTTTCTTCATCACTGAAATCTGTTGGTAGATTGGAGGGCAAATTGTAACCCTAACTGCTTAATAAAGCCAACTTTTCTTGCCCTAAGATTAACATACTTTAAAAAAAAAAAATTACTGACTATGGCTTACATTTGACTAATAAATTCTCACTCCATGTCATGCCAAGACCTGTTTTATTACTGAGCATCCCTATCATGGTCAGAACCCATCATTCTAACAGAACCATTTTCCTCTATTCTAGAATCTCTCTGAATTCACCACTCAATGCAGACCAGAGCACCAGTGGCACAAAAGATCATTTCCTGATTTATAATTCACTAAGCAAAACAGAGCAGCAGCTGCAGGCTTTGTACTTGGCTGGGACAAACATCAAAGCACCAAGTGGCTGCTTTGCTGTCAAGACACACCTACGAGTTTCTAGGCAAGAGGAACAAAGAATTATAACTGATCTCCTGGTCTAAGAAAGCCACAGTTGAGAAAGGATAGAAAATTTAGATGGCAACATGCTGCTGATCACCAGTTCCTCTGCTGCCAGGGTTCTGTGTCCTCGTATCAACAGCACCTTCCAGCAGAAACCATCTCACTGATTGGTGATGGTGCTAATCAGCATAACTGGAGATAAGAGATTTTAGTGCTTAGTTACTTCTGTTGTAGTACCTGAGCATTTCCCCCTCATATTTGTGGTGCTCCCCCATATGCCTTGAGAACCTTGTGCCATTTCTGCAGACTGAAAGCATGAGAACTGTTTTCACATCTTCATGTTATTTCAATGCATCTGTTTAGAAAATCCTTTATACAGAATTTCAATCCTAAGCCTTATTTCCAAATGAAAATCATCAGACTACAAGGATTGCATTCTTAATATCCAAAAGCTTAAAATATTCACAACTTTTAATAAATCCTAAAATTCCAATTCTTAAAATACCAGTCATTTTCCATCTATCCAAGCCACATTCTGGAATCCAAAGCCAAGCTCAGCACGTTTTCTTTGACAAGGATCATAAAAGTACTCAAAAGAGTACTCAAAGCAACAGAACACAAAGATGGAAAATGTTTCTTAGTTTGTGAGGCCTAGAGCTATTTTGTATCTGTTCAATATAACATTTCAACAAGCAAAAGGACATACATACGTGGAGTTACTGGTGTTCTGGTATATGACTGCTGGCTAATAACTCTGAGACACTCAAATTATTTAGTGCACATTCCCTTTGCTTTGGTGGCATCCTTTCCCATCCCAAAACACTTGTGGTGGCTGCACTCAGGGTTGGGAAACAGGAGATGACCTTGGACAACTGCAGCAGTTTCTTTCTGTGGGACAACTTTCATTCTGTCCACAATGCTGAACTCCTGCCACAGCTCCAGCCCTGGCTATGAAGGGTTACACCAGGAAGGAAAGTGCTCAGTGGTTTGAGACAAAATTGCTGCTGCATGTGTGGTACCTGCTGTGATTTGTGTCACCCATTTGAACCTCAGCCACAAAGCTGCACTTTTTATCAAGGATATTTGTGAATATGTAACTGCTCTGAGGACATATGGCCAATAAATAATTCAGAGTTATCTATCTTCCCTGCAGTTTTCTTATCCACCTACCACCTTTTAATGTTTTGTTGGCCTGGAAACAATATTGTTTATGGCACTTCTAGTATAAAAGTGTTGCTGACTGGCAGTAGACTATTTCCAGTGTGATACCTTGAAAACAAATTGCTTCTCCCCAGTCTCCATCTGCTTTGCTCTCATCTGCTGTTAGCCCACAGAAGTCTTGGTTTGCATTTTGAGTGCTTAATACTGTTCATTTGCAATTATTGATTCCAAAATTGTTACAATGTGATTGAATTTTTTGTTCCTTTTTCTCTCCCTCTCCCCCATCCCTTTGTTTTCTTTTCAGCTCTATATCCATTTACAGTCCCAAGGAGAATCCTAATGCTTTTGATGCTGCAGCTTTCTTCCAGTCAGTGGGAAATTTTCTGGGCATCTTTGCTGGATCATTTGCCATGGGATCTTCTTATGCTATTGTCACAGCTTTAATATCCTTTATGGTTTGTTTTCAGGGAGCAAATCTATATATGTTGGAAAAAATATTCAATATCTGAGAGTGACCATCTTTAGTTTGAGCCTGAAGCTTTTCACTCGAGGCTCAAGTGTTTGTAAACAAACAGATAAAATCATAAATTGACAGGAAATGTCATTTATCAGAATCTACAAATTTCTTCATTAGCTAGGACTCTGGCCTTTATCATCCTATTTGCAAATAATTGTATTTTAAGGAAAGTGTTTTGAAGTATATTGAGGCTCAAACATTAAGTTATTAGGAACAACAACTTATTTATGAACTCCAGGCTAGCAGCAATTATACAAAACGACAAGGCAAACACTACACCGTGTCAGTGTGACCAACAAGCCCATCAGTTTAACTAAGCTGGAAATTAAAGGTCTTTCTGTTGCCCTGCATTTTTCCTTGTGTTTTGCAGCTCATACAGAATGCTACTGTAGAAAGATCAGTGATTTTGATCTTTCTTGCATTCACACAAATGTAAACAAATGCCAGTTTGTTTATAAAACTGGGCAAAATTACTTCCTTTTCCTTTTTTCTAGGAAAAAGAATATCAAATGCAACCAACTAGGCATTAATTCAAACTCCACAAAAGTATTTAAAATAGTTGACTTTAAAATCTGTTCTGGATTTTGCTCCTTGAGATAAGTCAGAAGCTGTGCAGTTCTTCCCAAATTCAATGTTTAGATGAGTATGGTGGGGGAGCTTGTTTTCTTTCTTTCATCCTTTCTCAGATTGAGGGTAATTTTAGCTTATAAAACAGTTGGGTTTTTATTTTTCCTTAGTTATCTTTTAGCACTTGACCAAATTCACAAAGCTGTGTGAGTTTCCTATGTTGGAGACAGGTCTGTTTTTCCTCCTATCCTGGAGTGCCTTCTTATCAGCAGAAGCTGCTGGGCTTACAGGTAAGTATTGCATTTAATGAAATAAAAGCAATTTTGTATTATGCCTCCAGTGTGGGTAAAATGCATGGTTTATTTTAGGCATGACATCATATCTTAAGCTCCTAAAAGCCTGTTGCTATATTGGAGATTGTTTCATCTTTAAGAACAATTCTGTAGTGCCAGTGAATAATTCTTCCAGACAAAGACATAATAGATCAGGCTCAAGTCCTCAGTCTCTCTTCCTTGCATTATCCCATCCCTATTAATGTCTCTCTATTAATCCCCCTATTTTCTGGCCAGCTAGGAGACCAAAGATAACAGTAAGGCAAGGAAGGAAGGAGGCAGTGCCCTGTGATTACCAGCCTGTGCTCCTCTGCACACACTCCATATCGCAATTATCAATAATTTAGACCAATTACCAATAGTAAACCAAGAACAGGGCTAAGGGTGGGTTGCATCAACCTTTATACTTAAAAAAAAAAGTCATCTTGTTCAGTGCACCTACATGTACATTTTGGCACAGCCATGTCCCAATGACAGGTAGAAAGATGTGTGAGCCAATAGTTTTTTCATTAATGCCAGGAAACAAATTGTACAATCACAGTCAATTATGTACCCAGGGCCTCCATTAAAGTCCACACAGAAGTTTAGGCCAAATTTGTAAATGGATATAGTTCACCTCCACAGCAATCTATTGTATAGTGTGACTCAGAAGAACAAAGTTTCTATGGCCTTGATTGTTTTAATGCTCTTGAGGTTGTCACCTCTGAAATCCAGTGCTCTAATTAATGTCAGGGAAAATCAGGAGAAGAAAAATGCCTAATGGAGTGTAATGCAGCCCATGCTGCTTTGTTTGCAAAATTGTTCAAAGCCTTTTGAAGGCAACAGTTATATTTTTACTGAGTTTTCTGGAGTCAGCATGCTACTTTTTTAATATCAGCCACACAATCAAACCATTTCTGAATGGGTATTAATATCTGCATCTTTGTCTTACTAATTATACAACTTTGCATCCTGTTGACTGCCAAATTCTTCAGGCCAATGAATAAAAACAGTGGTACATGAACTGAACAAAAGGGTGGTGTTTCATTTCATCAAGAAAATCAGATATCAGGTGGAATGAAAGTCCATTTTGTCTCTTAACAACTCTGTACTGGTTTGGGCAAGGGTAGCATTAATTTTCTTCACAGCAGCTAATGTGTTGCTGGAACAGCCTGGTCAATCAGGGATATTTCGGGGGTCCCTGAGAAGCTCTTACACAGAGCCAAGGGGTTTTCTGCTGCTCAGCCCAGCAGCAGAGGGGCTGAGGGTGCCAGGACAGCTGACCCCAGAGCACGAGAAGCTGCAGGAAGGTTTCTCACTCTTGCTCTTGCCTCACTCTCTCTCCATCCCACCAAGGAGAAGGGAGAGAGGGAGAGAACAGCTGTGAGTCTGAGCTGCTGCCTGGGGTTACACTCAACAAGCTCTTAAAAATGTGGCATGAATACTGCAATAAAATGCAAGCAGAGGAGGAGGATTGTTGATCACTTTCCTGCTACAGGAGGTACAGATTTCTAATCCAGTGACTTCCAAGTAAAGACTGTTTTAAAATGCATTCCTCACAGAGCACAAGGATGCCGTGTTTCAGCAACTGAACAATTGATTATACATTACACACAAAAAGTAGATTTGTAAAGGAAACACTCATATCTTTCAGAGCCTCAGGTGCTGCACCAAAGGTAATTTCCATTTCTCAGGCATAGGAAGAGACTCTATGTCCTGACAAAAATAATTGGCATGTGTCTTTTTTGCATGCTGCAAACGTGATGATGGACAGCAGAGTCTCTCCTGGTAGTTACCCTGAAGAGTGTTTCATTGCTCTTTTCTGCTGTAATATATAAAATATCTGAAATAAAAGACTTAATTATTGAACACCACAGATGGTGGTAGAAGCCATGGTATGGAATTCTAAGTGGACAGAGGCAGAGAAGGAGGAATAGAGTGGAACCAAAGTAAAGTTTCAATTTAAGGGAAAAATAGAAAACTGTTGGGAAATTTAACTAATTCTTAACAAAACAGGAACTGATAGAGGAAAGATAATTAATTCACCAACATATATATTTCAATAAAAAGTACCAAGCATTTTTAGTTCTGTCACTAGCATTTTTTCATAGGTATTTTTTCATGGTTTCTGAGTTTCATGTGGAAATTGTTTAATTACACTGTGGTGAGAAGGCAAAGTTTAATCTTGAAACTTTTATCACTTAAATCTTTGCCACTTAATTTCTGTAAAAGGCTTTTGTCAGAAGCTGTTATTATGGAAAAAAAATCATGGGGCCTTTCTTGTGGCTTCAGAAGCTCAAAGCTGTGTTTTATAACTGCATTTACTTTATTAGTACTGTGCTGACATTACCCTTTAGTTGCCTGGCTTAACCAGTTTTGATGTTGCTTTTGTCTTTCAGTTTCCTCTGAAATAGTTCTAACTCTCCTCCTTTCAAAATACTATTTTAAACCCCAAGTTCAGCAGCAGAAATATTCTGTTGGTTAAGATTTTCACCAGACTTGGGTTCAGCCCTGATCTCTCATAGCCATGCTGAGGAAATGTGTGCAAAATGCAGATGTGTGCACACAAAGCACCTGCTGCAGGGGGAGCCCAGCAAAGGGGCACTCATGCTCCAGGACACACTCAGCTCTCACTCCACACTCTAATTTCCAGTCTTTCCCAGCTTTCTTGCTTTGCCCTTTGTCTCAGTGAGTGCAGGTTCTGGTTTTACAGCCCTGTGCCTGTCCTTACCAGCAGCTGTGAGAATGCAGAGAGCCTCAGCCCAGCAGTGGCACAGCTGCACCAGTGCATTCAATGCACCACACTGCTAGTGTCAACGTGCTTCAAAAATCAACTGGTTCCATTAGACATTTATGCCTCTATTCATCTTCCTTTTCCTTGGACATTGTGCTTTCTCTGTTCATTCCTTCTAAATGAACTTCAAAGGATTAACACTAGACTAGTACTTCCCTGTAGCTATTAAGTAATGTAATTGCAAAATAATTTTATTCTTATAATCCTTTCCACAGCAGTCCTTCAATCATTCTGAGCTTTTTGAAGTGTAATATTGAAGTATTTCATAATTTATAAATAATGGGCTATACTGGGTTTTTTAGTGGGTAAAGTAGGTGGTAGTGTTCACTTGTTTAGGTTGCAGATTTCTAAAATAAAATTTAATGGAGAGTAGTACAGGTCAATATTTTAGAAAATATTTCATTTCTCTGCCTCAAGATATCCCATGATATATAACACACAATATATGGGCCTGACCCTGGTTGAAAAATGGATGTGATCAAACCAGCAAATCAAAACAAAAATCTGGGATGACTACACAATTACTGTTATACTGGGAACTGGAAATTATAAATTAATGTTATGGTTATTAATCTTATAGCTATATCATCAAGCTGTGACACATGCATGATAAATTGATTCTTATACAGTAGAATCTAATTTGTGCATTTTCTCATTTGCCCTGGAGCATATCAATCCTGACTGCTGAGCAAAGCTGTAATAGCAGAATACTAGAGTAAGGTCAGTGCTAATAGAGATGTTTTCATTTGCAAAGTTCATTACATAGTATTTACTAGTAGGCTATGAAAAAAAATCATAAATAATTTAAATTAAACACTTGTTGAAATAAATAAAGAAAGTACATCTTGCATTTATTAATTGCTTGTTATCTTGTTTTATAATTAACATTTTCTAAATTTTGAATGATCACTCAGTCTGAGAAAGGTTTCATGATGTACATGGGCATTTAATGGTCATCTCACTTAGACCTTCTCTATCTACAGCTGTTTGAAATTATCAGATACTCAAATAAAAGGAGATTAATTTACCTGCAGAAATACACTTAAGCACATGGGAATTGACCTGTATGTATGTGCTTATTTGGTGCATGCTTCAAAGTCACACAGTGACTCAGTGTAAAGGCATCAAAAGTGCAGCCAAGCTCTCTGATTTTACACAGTAAAGACCTGCATTATGAAGACAAAGAAGACAATAGACCTTGAAGGAAAAAATTGTTGGAGAGTGTAATTTTTGTTCCTTTACTAGTTTTCAGAGCCCTGATCATTATAAAGCAAAAAACCTGTGATAATAAATTACTGCTGCTTCCTCACCTTCAGCAATTCTTGTCTGGACATTTTGTGATGTTTCTGCCTTTGTGACAGCTGCCTTCCTATTCAGGAGCTCACAGGAGAGCAGAGTCTATCTATCAGGAAAGCTTTTCCTCCAAAAATAAATAAGCAGCATATTATGAATGAGGTGCCCAGGATGAGTCCAAAGATTGGTCTCTCCCTGGGGCAATTTTGTGCTACTTTTCTATTTAGGACATAGCAAGCATGAATGTCACCAACTTCATTTTCTTTAATACTGCTGACAAAGTGCATTTATCCTCATGCTGTTCACTTCTCCTATCTGTTTGCTGTGATTTGTCTAAAATCTGTCATCTACCTCATTGCTTTTTTAAAATGCTGTGAGCAGGTCTTGTGCACACTCTCAGAAGGGATCTACCAAAACATTTCTCTCTGCAGTTCTGAGCACTGTGAGCCCAAGGCAGTTTGGGCTTCAGTTCACTGAGCTGACATTATTCTATACAAGGAAGATATTCTGGGCTTTCAGCTCTAAACTGTGTGGCTTTCTTTTCTTTATTCATTAGTAATGTGCCATGCTGTGACATGCAGAGTAGGCAGACTCCTGCCAGGGAGGAGGGAGAGGGGATAATTTGGCTTCCAGCTCAAAAGCAGAGAGACCACAACTCTTGTAAGCTCAAGGTCTGCCACTCCCAGGAGCACAGGATGGAATCTAAGTCTAATTAGGAAAACAAGAGATAAGAAAATGGCATTTGCCCAGCTGTGCAGAGACAGATGACAACTGAGCTGGTCTGCTGCCAATCCCTTACTGGAGTCAGGGCTTGGGTCTGGCTAATTTAGAGGCTGCTGTAGGCACAGTCTTCTAAGGCAGTAAGAAAAAAAGAGAAACGTGTATGTTTTGGAGAAAATTACATATACTAGCAAAGCATTAAGCTGAGACCAAAGATCAGTTGCATAAAATGTGGATAGTGGAGTCTTATTGCTAGTGCAGAGGTTCAGGATAAACAGGGTAAGCACTCTTAGCATAGCCAGAGTAAATGCTGTTCTATGTCACCATAGGAGTTCCAGGGGAAATTGAATTCAGAAATTCATTTGGGGTTACAAAAGTACAACACTGAAGCCCAGGTCTCACTTGAAGCAGCCAGGTACAATACCAATGAACTGTCCTCAGATAAGGGCCCAAAAAATCCCCTCAGCTCCATCTCTTGTTGCTTTCTGTCACTTCAAAATAAAATCAGCCTCAGATAACTCCAGAGATAAAAGCCTCATGAACAAAGCACGAGCTTTGATTTGCATTGGTGCAGGTCTGGTGTAAGAAACTTTAAATATTTTCTTTAGTATCAAGAAAATGATTAGTTACACTCCATACCCTCAAACAGCCTGGATAGGGAGGTTGTTGCCTCTGGGTGTGTGGCCCCATTACTGCAGCAACTGGAGGCACTCAGAGTCTCATTTCCTGCCACTCACACATTCAGCTGCATCCCAGGAGATGCTGTGGAGATTCTGACATAAGCATGACTCCAAAGTAAATGTTATCTGATTTAAACAATTTCTCTTTTACCCAATCCTCATTGTTCCTTTTTCCACGCATTTCCCCACCTCTGATGAAAGACCAGTTCCTGCTGCTTTACTGAGAGATTTCAGGATGTTGTGCATCTTTAGAGAGGCATCCCAGAGGTTCTGGAAAGATTTTAAGTTGGGATGAAAACTGGTTTGCTTACAAGTCTTTTGAAACGAAGCTACACTTTTTACTATTCCTTTACTCCCCCAGAAGGTAGCAGCTTGGGGGTTTTCTTTTCCTAAATTCCCTTTTTTACCACCAAAAGACCTGACAGCTGGAGAAAAATGTCTGGTTTAATCTCTCAAATTAGCAAATTCTGAGGTTTTGATTGTGGTCACTCACTTCAAGTTTTTCATTAAAAGAACATCGCACCTGCTGCTCTTCTCTGATATTCCTTTTTGCATGTTTGTGAAATGGTGTAAAAGAAGATTTTGTCTATTAGTGAGAGCTAATATGGGAGCTATTTTCAGATTAGCACTTGTAAATTAATTCCCACACTATAATTTTAAGGTTCCCACTATCAGGAAAATACTATTAAATGTACAAGTTCCTATATTGTTGCTATATTTTTTATATTACTAGCTTTTGACTCAACAACCATTTCAACTACATATAACTGTAAAAACTAATGTAAGAATAAGTTCTCTAGCTGTATTAACAGTTAACAAATTGTCTCAATTTCTCTGTTAAAAAATCAAATAAAATGGTAAGGCTTTTATTTCTAAAAAAAAGAGGTTGATCTGAAGCTGAAAGTTTACTAGTGATAAAAGCATTTTTCTGTGAAATGTCTCATCTTTTATATTAAGAGAAAAATGTCAGTAATCTGTTAATAAACACAATGGGCTGTATTGCACTTAACTTACCACTTGTTTCAACTCAAAACATTCCCTGCTTACTTCAAGCTAGCATTTTGTTCTGCAATTGTAGTACTGTCTCAGTAATTGCTGATTTTTCCACTAAGTAAAGAATGACTGAGCTGCCTCCAACAGCCTGAAATGAGGACAAGTAAAAGGTCCACCTTGCTTTATCTGCCTCCTGCATCTAATGGATATTTCTGTTTTCAACCCCAGTATTGCCATATCTGCTCTTAGCTGCTTCTCTGTGAAAGCAAGCCCACAAAAACAGCCTCGTTCTGTGCCACACTCTGCTCATACAGTATTTTGCTACCCAGCTAACTTCAATTCCAGCTTTTATAGTGCTACAAAGAAATCCAGATTGCCTTTTCCTTGTAACTAAAGAGTTCTGTGTTTGCCTCTTCAGGTACTTCTCTTTCCTTTTCAGTTAGCATCTCTTTCCTTTTCAGTTAGCATGTAATTGATCCTTACTCTTAAGTAATCATTTTTATGGATATTCATTACAAACAATTTTCTCCAAGACTTTTAATGAACTATTCATTGTGAGAGTCATGGCTGGTACATATTAAGCTTTCAATTGTAGCAATTGGAATATTCCACTGCACTCCCCCAGTCTTCCCTGGAAACAGGGTATCTAGTTTCTACACTTGCATAATTGCATGATTCAGTTCATTTATTCTTATTGCAAAATCAGATTTAAGCCATTTTATTCTTCATTACACTCTCTTGGTTTTCCTCACTACCCATAATTAACAGTTTCTTAGCAGTCAAAACCAGTTTATAATCACAGCTGAATTTAATAGTCAGTTTTTAAAATGCAAGACTTGACATCCTGATGATTAATAGAGAAGAAACTGCATCAGAAACTCTTATCTCCATTTCAGTTACTGAGCCTGGAGCTAGTGATACTTAGCAACATTACTGTTTGCCTGTATTTTTAACTGAAATGTCATTATTTGAGCATCCCAGTGCATATTATTAATGCCTTGAGAATTTTTAAACTTTTCAGATCAGTTCTGCACAATCAAATCCAGTTACTGAGAAAAGAAGAATTAGACACATTCATGAGAGCAATTAGACCTCACAAAAATATAAACTTCCTGGAATGTATTTCAGCAGTGACAATCTCACCACACCCCACAATATTTACCATGAAGAAAAGTCTTAGTGTAGCTAGAAAATAAATCAAAATAGACTTAAAATAAATATAAGAAACAAAGGCATAATAAAAGTTCAGTGGAATTGCTCTTGGCTAAAGAGTCAGTGTTCTGTAGAAACAGTACAGGTAAATTTAAAATATAAAGAGAACTCAGAAGCTAACAAAATGTCTGCAGGGAACAATGATCAGAGTGGACATATGGAAGCCCTGAGCTGTTGTGTAAATAATTATCTATGCAGACATGTCCCAAGTTTAAGAAAAAGACAGAGCGTTCTCCCTCCATGGCCATTTACATATGGCTACTGGTGGACACTGGTTTTGGATTTCTGTTTTCTCCCTATGTGTGTTCCTCCTGCATTATCTGTGTCCAGACCTCACAACCTTATCAGCTTCTTTGATTATACTACTGCACACAGTGATGTTACTCTGTGATTCCAGTGAGTTACAACCAGGGCCAAGGCAGTACTAAAAAAAATCCCTATAAAACAAATTTGTTACTATTATTCCTGACAATCCTGCTTCCCCTGCAGACCTTCCACAACCTGGAACTATAACTGAGTCCCCAGTCACTGACCTGCTTGTTCTGGGCAGCACAGCTCGCACCTGCCAGAGCATCCCTTTAAAGCACAGTGTTGTTGTTCACCTTGACATCGTTACACACTGCTTGTGATAAGATACAATCAGGCACAGACTGGAATGATTTTACCCTGTTGCAGTCATTCCCCACCAAGTGATCCCAAACCATTTAAAAGTAACCTTTTTTTTCCTTCCCCATTCAGTCCCTGCCAAATTCTTTCAAATAGTCCAAATTCCTACATGTTACAATTATGTTAGTCCTACACTTACAATTACTGTCAGATTATGATTGGATCATACCATGCATTAATTGAAAAAAAATTTCTACGGCCTTTGAATTTCCAAATACACTACAGTGGAAATACTATGAAAGCATGATTGGCCTTAGAACATATATCTCTAATTTCTTTTGTTCTAAAAAGCTACTAACAGACTAATTTGGTTTTTTATGCAGCCTTTTGCAAGCCTAAGTAAGAAAACAGAAGCTGCTAACTCTTTTTTTTTTTTTTAATTCCAGGTATTGTTGCTGTCCTTTTCTGTGGAGTCACACAGGCCCATTATACCTACAACAATCTGTCAACAGATTCCAAAATGAGAACTAAACAGGTAGGACATGGAAATAAATGGCATCATGTCTTAAACTGTGTGTAAGGAGTAACAGTCACTGCAATACAGCTGGATTGGATTTCCTCAATGCACAGCAAGAGGCTTATGTCTTCATCAGGGGAAGGACTGGAGATTTTGCCAGAAAACAGTAACAATTATCAGGATAAGCAAAAAAAAATAAGAATATAAGAATCTGTTCTTCCCAAGAGACCGGAAATGCCAGACAGGTGTGGAGATAACAGCTTGCACCAACTTCCATGCAAAAATGCTTCAAAATTCAGGAAATCAAAGAGCTCCAGTAAGTAAAACAGAAGGGGTCTGAAAGATTGGATCCCTGTAGATTTTTGCAAAGGGATTGTATAAACTGCAGTCTGGCCCACACATTTAAGCAATAACATTGTTTAATTTCTGTTTCATTAAAAATTGTCATAATTAGAAAGATAAAGATTTTTTTCTTTCCATTGTGTTGTTTAGAGTTTAGAAATGTGAAATTCGATCACCTGGGGTTTTTTTTAAGAATTGACTAGTACAATTGTAATTCTTTTTAAAACATGAGGCTGTTCTCAGGTCTATGGCATTGCAGTGTTCAAAATACTTTTCAGCATGAGTAATTTTAGACAACCCTGCCACTACCTAGAGCCTGGTAGAAGTAATTTAAATGCCGTTTTCTTCCCTTTTAACACTGACTCATATGTCCCAAAACCCCCAGGTTGTAGGAAATCTATCTCCTAGAATAAAATGGAAACTTATGGCCCAACACTATAATTTTCATGATGCAATCTCATACCTTTTTCAGCAATTCCTTTCTTTTAAGCATTTGAAATTTTACATAGAAAAATGCATCGCTTCTTGCACATCTCAATTTAATCAAAAATCCAATTTTCTATAAAAAACAGCTTGATAGAAAAAAGTACTGACCACAGTATCAGCTCAACTGTTAGAGTCTCACAGATTTTAGATCACAAAAAAGTTTCTGGTCACTACTCCCATAATAAAGTGTTAGCTATTGAACAGTATAAGTCTTTTCAATTGTATTTCTTCATAGCAGGAGAGTCTGATGCTTTCAGAAAGTATTCCAGCAGAAAGCTAACCTTTCTCTGATAACTGCATTGAAAGGGAATGACATTGAAATCTACTACAGAATTGTTTCTGTTCTGCAGAAAGACTGCATTACATATGCCATTACTCCCCTTGCATATAACTTACAATTTGAACAGAAGTTTTTTCAGGGATTCATCTGCATGTTTTAATGATGCATAGCCTCAGAGAGAGACAGAAAAAGCCAAGGTTGCTGGCATTTTTAATTATCAATGAAGCTTTTCAGCAGCAGAATCAACTAATATCTTGTTTAAATGCATCCTAGTTTTGTTCTGTTATTCCCTTCTATTCAACAAGTGCAAAACAAAATAGTGAAAATAAACCAAATTTACCCTTGAAGACACAGAAAAGGGATTATGTGTTTCTCTATGGAGCTATGAGTTTTATGCACACTTTCCTATTCTGTTTTTCTCTTGCCCATAAGCCCTTAATCCTCAGCCTCCTTTATGATATGGTTCAAACATTGTCGTTGAATTCCTTTGAATTCTTCTAATTTATTTTCTAATCCAAATATTACCCTTTCATATGCAGCTGATTCAGTGAGACCTGCACTGCCTTTTTCCTTCTCTCTTCCCAAGAATTCTCTTCAAGCAAATTTAATAAGCCACACACTTGGCATTCTTCTAATCATATATAACTTCAGTGCATCTTCAATGAATATTGTTGCTCAGACAGTTGGATTTGCTCCCAATCTAAGTCATTTTTATTACTCATTACTGGCCAAAATCAAGGGCTTTTCAGTTCTTTTATAGAATTATTCTAAAGCAGTCTCTTTTGTTACAATATGACAGATCTTTCAGAAAGGAGTGCTGAACTGCAATACACACTGACAAAACAGTGAGTTAAGGCTGAAGCTGAAGCTTACAAAAACTATGGAAATTAGACTTAAAACTGTAAATCAGATTGCAAAATTGTGTTAGCTGTTTTTGAACAAACACTTTTTCTTTACTACTTTGCATAATTTTCTTTACATTTTTTACTTGCTTTTAACATTTTATAGCTTGATGCTAAAATCTGGTATAGAGTTATAGAGGTATTTTTGACCCTGATGCCAAGTTCTGCATTTCCCATAATACATCATCCTTTGCTCTAAGAAGTAAAAAGTTTCTCTTCAGTCACAGATGTAAAATGAGAACTTATCTACATTTCCTAAATTTAAGAATGTCTATTAAAAAGGTCTGTTAAAAGATGCCATGTAATTATTAGTCCCCATGTATCCTTTATTATTCTGTCAATCACTGTTTAAGATTTCATGAAAGAGAAATATTAGATTTCAAGCATCTGAAACTTACAGAATCTGAAACTATAAAGCAACACTAATCTTTTCACAAAAAAATGAATTAACACTCTCATAAGAAAAGTAGATCTAAAAAAATTAGTGAAAATGGAGGCTTTAGCTAGTTTTCATTCAATTCAATTATCCCAATTTTCATTATGTATTTATAAACATTCTGTGTGGTTTTACTGTCATTTTTTAAGATGGGTGATGTTTTATGGAAGTCATTTTAAGTCATCATCACTGACCTGACTATAGCCATCATGATTTTAACAGTGAGATTGACCCTGCCCTCCATGGCAGCAAGGTTAGCTCTAACACGAGTGCTCCTGAATTTCAGGCACCTAAAGTTTAATTTGTCCAATGTATCTTTAGTGAAGGAGAAGATGAAACTGCTGGGATGTGAGTGAAAGCTATTTGATTCTGAGCAGCTTTCTCCAGAATTATTTACAGCTGCTATCTCCCCTCACGTTATGCTGCAGCCAGAGAGCTGCTTCTAAATCTTGGGACATCACAGCTCCAATTTTACTTTAGGCTTCAGATGTGCAGCTGGGTGGGGCTGATTTGCTCTGCTACAAGAAAGTCAGAGGCTGGGCAGGGTGTTGTGAGATAAACAGAAATCCCTGGTTTGTTTAAAGTGGGCAGAGTGTAAATCCCTACAGGTCACCTCTAGAAAAGGATTCATGGATAAGATTGTGTTTTCTACAGGAAGATAAGATTCCTGGCTCTGTTTTTCTCTCTACCCTTTATCACTTTCACTCAAACGCCTAGCTAAGACCAGCACATTTTCCTAGTGGTGAAGTACTGACTAATGGCCATAAATATACTTCTGAGTTGTACTTTTTCTGGTCGTGGTCCTTTAACTCTGGGGAACAACTCCAACAATGAGAGTGGGGCAGGGCAGTGCCTCCCTTAGGTTAAGTGTGCAAGGGTATGAAGAATTCTCTTTGCAGACAAAATAGTGTCAGCAAGTTACAAATTCTGGAAAGGGAATTCTGAAATGTATCACCCAAGGAAGAAGAGCCAGGGAATTACAAGAAGACAGAGGAAAACATGTCCAGCCAACAAGGGAGCATGTCACACACTGCCCTGCCTGTCTCCATTCATTCCCCAAGCTAAGCCTTGTTCTCATGGTCACCTCTGAAACAGGTGTGTCTAACTTCTGGTGAAGGTTGCTTTCTCAAATGAGGTGCAGTAGCCTTTCTAATCTCATGAGGAGTTAAACAGTTACTCACCTGTGCTGCTGTTCCTGATAGCAAGCCCATTAAGGGAACAAGCTGCCTCAGAGACAGGAGCTCCTGGCCTCATTGTTCAGCTGCACTGGGCGTGCTGTGTGCACAAGATTCCAAGTTAAGATTTCAGTGGCCCTTCACCTCCAAGGTTTAACACAGGCAGAAGAATGAGATAAACATCACTGCTGCTTAACTTGGGAGTAACTTTACCAAGATGCAGTCTCACTCAGAGGCTTGAGCAGATCAGTTTGCACTACAGGGCTCAAAGTTCAGCCCCTACTCTTGGGCTTTGCTCACTGATGGACACAGTACTGATTGCTTCAAATTTTAATCTCTGCACTATAAAACAGACATGATTATCTCTGATTAATAAAAGTCATCACTTTGCAGGGGAGCAGCTAATATTTCCTGGAAATCCCTGAAAAATACATGAAGCTTTCAAAAGGTTCCTAGTATATGTCTTCCAACAAGGACACTGGCTAGGGATCAATCAGCTGATTTCTGGATCTGAAATTAAGCTGCATTCCAAAGACACTTTAGTGTAAAACGATTGTGGTTTTAAGCATATTAATTTAATTCTAATTAATCACATTAATCCAAACATGTGGAAAAAACAATCATAAAACTTTTTGTAGTTTGTCAAAAACTGCAAATCAAATCTTTATAGTCTCTTGACCCTAATATGTTATAGTCTAGTCTCAATACAGACTTTAGACTTAGAATAACAGAATCATTGAGGTAGGAAAAGATCTCCAAGACCATGAAGTTCAATCATCAACCAAATACTACCATACCACATCTACTAATTTTTTGAACACTTCCAAGGATGGCATTTCCACCACTTCCCTGGGGAGCTGTTCCATCCATGATTATGGACTCACTTCAGAAGCAAAGTAAAACAGTAGAGCAAAAGTAAAGTATGGCAATAGAGGTATCCAAATCAACTGAAAGGGGAAAAAATAAATTAATCAGAGGAGAGTTACCTGAATGCCAACAGACAATGTTTACTAAAAAGAGCACTGCAGGACTAAAGGCAGAGAGGTGACTGAAGTCACTGTATCCCAATGAAGCACCATCACTGGGATCTCAAATTCTACTGCTTTTCTGCTGGCCTGTGGATCTTGTAAACCAGTCACAAGCAGACCTACAGCCAGCAGTGCAACAACAAATCTCCTTTCTTCAGATACATAATTCTGTCTTATAGGAGTCTCCCATCAGCTGTCTTTAGAGAAGAAAATAAATAATGCACTGCAAATTCTGCTTTAGTAGCAGAATGATGTCTCCTGAGTTTGTTGTTAAAAGCACATGCCAGGAGCTGCAGCTACTGCTGTTACCTTTCTATGAGAGGAGGAGAGCAGCTGGGGAGAGGCGACTGCACTACCAACCCCCAAACT